TCTTTCTTTCTTTCTTTCTTTCTTTCTTTCTTTCTTTCTTTCTTTCTTTCTTTCTTTCTTTCTTTCTTTCTTTCTTTCTTTCTTTCTTTCTTTGAAAAATATGCATATTTTCCCCCAGAACTGTCCTCTCAAGTCAGAATGCAGGGAAGTTAAAGAATTTTGAGGTGTTGTTCTGGATATCTTCATGGAGGGTATTTTTAAGACAATAGCTTTCACCTAGACTTCCCTTCTATGGGGTCCATACTGTCACCAAAGCTGTCACTTTACCTAGGGGCAAGAGTTGTGAGTTTCTGTGCTAACTGCCACCTACTGCAGGAAAAGTCTTCTCTGATGAGGGTTGACCAATGCACTGATCTGTAAGAATAGCAGTATGTCATTAGGAGTCGCTGTATTGTTATGTATGTTTAGGAGAGTAATAGTAAGTATCTTCCTATGTATCCTCAAATCTATATGGCTTCAGATTCTTTTTTCTTTTTAAGATTTATTTATTTATTATATATACAGCATGTATGACTGCTGGCCAGAAGAGGGCACCAGATCTCATTACAGATGGTTGTGAGCCACCATGTGGTTGCTGGGAATTGAACTCAGGACCTCTGGAAGAATAGTCAGTGCTCTTAACCTCTGAGCCATCTCTCCAGCCCCTGCTTCAGATTCTTAATCTCATTGACAGTTTCAGGTATGGGTTCCATCTCACAGAGTGGGTCTTAAATCCAATAAAAATAAATAAATAAAAAGTAGGTGGTTCCTCCTATCAAATGTGTGCCTCTATTACACTGGTAGCTGTATCTTCTTGCCAGTCAGGTTATTGTAGTTTGCAACGTTTGCAGCTGGGTGAGACTGATAATTACCCTTCTCCTCTAGTAACACGCATAGTACCTTCTAGCACTATGCCCACTAGGTGGTAGGGGCGAAAGTTCCAGTTGAGTACCAGCTGGATTTCTCCATGTTCTATGACTTGACTGTGTGCTGTCTTCAGCAACAGAGTCTTACTACCAAATTCTGGAGGATAACCAAGAACATTGAAGTAGCTTGTAATCTTTGGGCAGGGTTGTGAGACCAATAACTCAAAAAGAGGTACTACAGGTTTTATTTGGTGGCATATGGTTTGCAGTTGTAGTTTTATACCCTCACCATAGGGAAACTCCATTTAAACTCCAGATAGATAGATAGATAGATAGATAGATAGATAGATAGATAGATAGATAGATAGATAGATATTTGTATTTTAGGAAGTTTCTACAGTATATAGGTTGCCATGAGACTTTTTCAAAAGGCCAGAAAGCTACTTTCTAAGTATTTTCTATGTCTAACTTAAACCTGTGAGGAAGTTTACTTTATGATCCTCACTTTATAGATGAAGAAATTGAAGCAAAAGGAAATGAAGTAGCTTGCTCCTGAAAATGGGTAGTTTAACTGCAGATGCTTTAATGGTGCTTTTATAGTACCAATAAGAATGGGAATCTATTTCTAAGGTAGTTCTTGGATATAGCTCAGTGGGAGATCACTTGCTGAGAATTCACGACTCCATAAAACCAAAACAAAGTAAATTAAGATTCAGTTATTTATGTAAAGGAAATCCAACCCTAAATTCAGAAAGTAAAACTCAAGGAAATAACTAATTAGTAATAATATCTTGGAAAATTGTCTTATTATTTTAACAATACTAGAGAGCAAACCTAGAACCTTGCACATGCTAGGCAAGCACATCCTACGATCTTGGGTCTTTCGAGACAAGATTTCACTATGTAGCCCAGGCTGGCCTCCAACTGTCTTCCTGCTTCTGCCTCCTAAGTGCAGGTGTGCAGGTGTGTGCTACCACATCCAGTTAGAGTGTTGGACAGTCTCAAAAAGAAGACATCCAGCTCACATTTGTATTCCAAAGTATCTTGGAGAATGCCAAGGAAAGCAGTCTTTCCAGGGACAGGTGCTCTATCCTGTCACCACCTGTCTCTGCGTCCTCCTTGCTGCATGGTTCAGGTGGCAGTTTGTCCTGAGGAAACCTGGGGACAACAGCAGCTACCCCTCCTTTAGGGCCTGGATGTACCTAGCCTTTCTTGGCACTGTGTATTTTATGTCCCTTGTCTTGCTGACTCCTCCGGTGCTCTCTCATCAAGGAGGTAACCATTCTTACCCTCAGCTTCGAGGTGAGTCGGGGTGTGGAGAGGAGAGAAGAAAATTGCCCTAAGCCACAGAGAGGAAGGTAATGGACTTGGCCAGACCCCAGCTCTTCCTTTCAACACCTAGGCTCTGACCCTCCCTGAGTTTCTCTTATTGAATAGACTCTCCTTTGGAACAAACAATGAGCCCACGAATAGTTTCCAAACTTGCATTCAGCACTCCAGGAGGCTCTTGAAAATCCACACATGGGACTTAAAACCAGGGAGAAAAGGGTACCACGTGGAGGGATTAAAGAGCAAGCCAAATCCAAGTGTCATTAACTGCCAAATTATGTGGCCCCAAAATAGCACACTACAGGGAAAGTGCTCAGGATGTGGAGGGCACTGTGAAAGAAAAGACCCGGTGAAAGAGACTGCTGTGAGTGTTTGAAAGGTGGAGGGAAGAGCACTCCCAGGGAGGGGTTAAATAGGTTGTGGGAATTAACGTGGCTTTAATGAGAAGGCAAATATGAGCAATAAACCACAATGAACAGAGCTTAGGGTCCAAATGCAAGTGATTTCTTAGAAAATGCATTTAAACTGAACACCCTCCCCCCCCCCCCAGCAGCTGTGTTAATTGCTAGATTAGCTCAGTCCCCATTTCACCTGTGTGGAATTGCTCAGGTTGAAAATAATTTCCAAAGTAACTTAGGAGCTCCCAGTGGGAGCTCTGCTTTGGGATGGAAATCACCCTTTGGAAATCAGAGGGGAGTTCAATCTCTACATTGGTGCGGCATTTGTGGGAATGACCTCCTCTTCCTTGGTATATTTTTATATTGTTGCCTCAGGGCAGTGGTGCTGAATAGTATCAGAAGAGTGCCCTCCCCCAAACCCCCAGAGATTTTAAAAGGTTTCCTACATTCTTGTATCACTTTTTTTATTTGGTATGGAATGATAAAAGAAATTCCTCGTGAGAAGCAATTTTCAGTTTAGTGTTTTAAGTAAATGAGGGAGAAGTACCACCTGCTTCCTGGCAGTTACAGGAACAAGTCTCTCCCACAGACATATTATTCTGAGAAAGAGTGTAATTTTCTCATATACTTTAGTTTGTTAATGTAGCATGGAGATTGATGTTCTAACCTGAGTTCTCATGGGGTGGGAGACGGGATACCTCTCTCCTGGACTGTGGCTCCTTGTGACACATGGACCTCCCCTTCTGAACTTCCTCTTGGGCTTTAAGAAGCTCACTGTTCAGGGCCGGGGTCTCTCTTTCTGGGTCCCAGACTGGCCACCATGTTGTGTCATTAAAAGAGCATTCCCTCTGTGTGCTCTTCCCCCTCCCTGTAGCGTATTTAATACAGAATTCAAGCAATGAGGCCTAGCTCCCTGGAATACTCCAGTTCTTTGAGCATCTATTGTGTGACTTTTCCTGGAGAGTTGTAGACCATGT